ATAAATTTGCTGTAACATGCTTGATTGAAAAAAGAAAAAATCTGAAAAACAGATTTCATTTTTAATAACATAGTATATCTCCAGAACAACCTAGAGATATACTCTAATTTTGTGTGTTTGATCTTTACCTTTGGCTGACCATCCCTGTCTGACCTGTAGGTGTAATTCAATAATCTGTAAATACTGGTGAGAGCAAAGGTTGACTGTGCAAACACATGTTCTTTCACTGAAACCTTAGGGGTCAAGGGATTACATTTCACCCTCTTGTCCCAGCTACTTTTTAACATACCATCCAATTCCCAAGATATTATAGTCGCAGTGCCTTAATGTATTAAATCTTAGCTTGAAATACAATTTTGGAGATCTTAAAAATATTTTCTACCTACAGTTGCTTCCTGGTGTTTGGCAGCTCTCAAGCAACCTTATCCTTCCTCTACTGGAATGTTTACAGATGAACGTGTTAATTTACGGGCTACCTTATAGTCCCGAGGTTATTACCTGTACATACAGACTTGCCTGTCCTCTCTTATTCATTTCCTTGTCTCCGTTAAACCAGAATTTTGCAGGAAGATCAAATCCAACGATTAAGAAACTTGGTGTTTTAGAGTATGGCTGAAAAAAAGCCCAAACACTTGTTCTCTGTGCAGACATTCTTCCTTCATGGTGATTGGAAGTCTGCCTTGTCCTTTAGCTCCATGGGGCACCCTGGTGAGGGTGGGGGGCTGAGCTGTGAATGATAATGTTCCTGTTCACGCATCAGGAGCTCTCAAAATATTGCTTTTTATTAGAGCAACCTGATCAACAATCATAAGCAGCATACTACGGACGTTCTGTTTCTCAGTATGTGAGTTTAAAACAGTGTCAGGGCTTTATGGTTACGTCTGTGCAGCTTAAGATTTCAAAATCACAGCAGGGAGCGCCTCAGGATTGTTGGTCCTTCCTTCTAGGGTGAACACTAATCTACTTAGCTGCTGCCAAAGCTTCTAGGAGATCTGAATCCCCTCCAACGAAATGGTTCTATATATATATATATATATATAT